CGCTTGTTGCCCGTTGAGGCATCGCGTCAAAGGCGGCTTCAAATTTGGGCAGAGATGCGTCGCTGAGTGGACACGAAACATACGACCGCATGAAATCGTCATATGAGACCTTGATGAATTGACCCTTCATGTCTTGTCTGAGGATCTTCCGCGTTAAATCGACAGATGGACCTTGAGCGGCAAAAGGACTAGTTCCTGCAATCCGTCAAACCAAGGGAGTCTGAGAATTTATAGTAGCCTCGTCGAAGTGGGTCGGTTCATATGTAAGCGCACGGCTGTGGCCCAGCCAGCAGCCACAGTACCAGCTGGCCACAGAACAAGACCACGCGCTGACTGCCGCAATTCACCCACGTAGATCACTTGTGGGGGTATGTTGCTCAGGCTGCACTTGAGGAAATAATTGTCGGCCCTCGGCCAGTTGGCAGTGGCATTCCCGTTGAACTTGCACACTGAATTTAGAATTGAACGCGACCACGTGTCTGTGGCTGCTACCAATGTATCGGCGCCTATGCAGTCTCCTTCGACCGTTCCAATTTTTGCGTCCGTCCAGCTCCGTCACTGCGTCTTCTACTACTATATCGTCCGGCTTTGTTGCTCACCCTACGTTTCCAACTAAGTTGAGCTAGGCATACTCTTAAAAATATCCTGCTCTCTCGCTGCTCAGCTAGTTGGCGACAAGGCTGGTAGTATGGTACACTGGAATCGACAGCAGCAGTTGAGCAGACATAAGCTCACTATGGGTGTTGTCGAATTAAATGGATTGTGAAGTCAGTAATACAAACGGACACTATTAGGTACTTATTATACTTGTTCCGTATCTTATTTACTGTCCTTCTAAATTAGGTAATTCGCGGTACGATACGTTTTACATCGCTGCCCGCGCACCTCAGACCTCCGTCTACACGACGTCGAATTGAGAGTGCGTATGTCCTTCATTCTATGCGATCTATTACTTATAGCTCTCTAGTTATATATTACAGGTACATACATTAGTCCTCAGTCTACACGACGTCGGATTGAGATTATATATCACAGTCCCTACAGGCCCGAGCGCGAGTCAAGATATTGGCCCATGAGGCGCTCAATGTGTCGTCCGCCAGACTCAGTTGATAACTTTCAACCGACCCGCAGATCTGACATTGGTATAGTAGCAGGACATTACTCCCGCCTGGTCTAGCAGCAGTCTTTCCTGAGCCCGACAGAACAACAACTGTGTTCTTCGAACTGGAAGCACAGGGCGTAGCTACTGTATACGTCACGGTAGTAGCATCAAGTTCGTCTCTGCCCTGTCAAGAAATACTGTATCCTGATATTTATCAGTTGCCCTCATTCCACAGATATTGAAGGAGCAATGGAGGAGTTTCGAGACATGACTGTGATACATATTGGGGACACAACCTGTTGCATCCCCGTACTATCTGCGCAACTTGGCATACTCAGGGCATCTAAGTGGCCTGTCAGCAAAGCCTAGAAACCACGAGCTACCTATTCCTCAAACTCTTCTCGATCAGAGGATTCAGATTTTTTTGCAGAGTAATAATGCATCAGAGTGACAAGCTAGGGAAAGACTTTTGATGAAAGGTGTTGTGGTTTTCGCGCGTAGCTGAACCCCCAACTCAGTTCCTTGGTGGTAGTTGGTGCCCAATGTTATCGATTATCTAACGACTTTCTTAGAAAACGGTTATAGGAGGGCGTCGTAAACGGAAGGACATTATGAATTCTTACTTTCGCGGATACTTACCGCAGCTCGATCGTGCCAGCGAGTACTAGACGTGGGAACAGGCTCAAGTGGTGCATTGACCCAGATGACAGATGGAATTCTGATTGATCATCCAGGTCCTGGAATCCATCTTATCTACTACATCTTATACCTATAGGGCTCAACCGTAGAGCGAGGATCAAATGAAGCTCTTCGCGGTCTAGATAGAGCGATCGTCCAACATTACTTCCCAGCCGTAATTACATTCAAATGTTCAATGATCGATGACGTTTGACTACCCAGGTAAGTCTTTCACAGCAGATTCTTGAATATGTGGTCTTGGGTACTTCTCGATCGAGCAGATGACCTTCGCTCTCATTATGTGATTGTACGTCGGGAAATGGGGTGCTTGACTTCGACTCATTGCTTCTGGACTGCTGACCTGGGTCTAATATATAGATGCGATTGATATGATATGATACAGTTCAATACGTCCCGGTATTAAGCAAACCATAGGGTCAAGTGGTTCGGCGGAGCATTGCTCCTTCAGGAGACTAAGGGAAGATCCCGAGGAGTTTGCAGTGTTCCGGAACGTCTTACGAGCTTTTACTCATTTCACGGGACACATATCCCTCAAAGGTCAGATTGCAGTCCTTCTTAGTTCGGATCCTTATGGCGTGCTTCCATAGAGCTCAGGATGTATAAGCAGACGCGCCAGGGCTGTTCGTGTTTTGCAAGAACTGCCCACCATCCATACTAATTGCGATGTCTACCAGCCTGGCAACTTTTGTTAGGAAGGTTTCTGCAGGCCATGACGGTGGCATCCAACCCCGGCCATGCCAGGTGACCGTGCAAGTCGCAAGGAACACTTTCATTTCCGTGACCGGCGTGAGTATTGTTGAACTTGTGTGGACGCGACTGACGATATTCATGGTAGACTTCTACTGCAGAGTGGGTTCAGCGCGTAAAAGTCACCGTCGAAGGCGACTCCGCGACATATACCTTGACCGCAAACAAAGGTCAGCCCTTGAAGACGGATAAGAATGTAGAGGCCGTGACGTTGGGCCCGTACACCACGCCGAAGAATATTACACTGGATTTCAGTGCGAAGCCACCTGGTTCCGATTTCAAGCCGGCTTACGACGTGAGGCCTGAGACTGAAGGCTCGTCCAACCAGGTGTGCAAATCTTGTGTGTCCCTGGAAATGAGTTGGCTGAACGACGTCTTCACAGCTAACCGTTCAAGGAATTGCAACAGCATATGTGGTAGCGTCGATACGGCATCTAATTTGTTGAATCCTGAGCCCTAACATACATCCATTTAGTTCCACAGCGAAGATGGAGGAGACCGAGACTACCATGACACGACTGCGATCTTGTCCCTTGTTGCGTACGCAGCCAGTTATGCTCCTGCATCGATCCGGCTGACATCTACATCTCAGTACCACGAAGTAAATCAGTTGAGACATCAGACGATTGCCATACACACCGTCATGAAACGATGGGTGGCGGTATGCGTACTTGTTATGTTGTTATCTCCTCGCTTCAATTATTAGAAGTACAAATTGTTCTTGTACAAGTTTTCCATCGAATGTGACTCTTATTTGGCTACTGGATTGATTACTGCGTGAAGCTTGAATTTACGTGTTGCATTCCGACTCGGCTCATTAAGAAGTACCTAGCAAAGCCACTGACGTCACTCCGATAGTGTGGGCCGGATGCTCATACAGAGGGCTTACGATTTTCCTTCCGCTCAGTGTCGCGGCGTCCCCCATCTTATCTCACGACAAAGCTGCAGGTTTCAAACTCTGGAGCCCCAGGCTGGTCTCTAGCCTCTTGTGCTTCATTTATAATCTTTCGATCCCAATAGGCCAAAGTTGTCTTTCGTTCACCCACGCAACAACAGCGCTGTTCAAGATCCGCAGGATTTCCTCCTGTAACCTTGGGCTCATTGAATTTCGGATCCTTGTCGCCATTCTTACACCTCCCTCGATGTTCTCATTCGTCTATTTAGTGAATCCATCGCACTCATGTTTTATCAGAATTTCCTGCTTGTGTGCTCTGGCTTCTGAATGGGACATGTCCCATGTTCGTGGCCTTCGCACTGAATGATCTAAATTGTTTCCCGGCTCGGCCGGCAGATCGCAATACGGGTCATGCGTGCAACATACATTCAAGACGGACTATTGATACTGTATAATTTTCCTTTCTATACGTTACTTACTTACGCTCTATTATTTTCCTCATACGGCAACTGTCGATTTCCCTCAGTTGCCGATTACCATATCCCGGACTGAGGTACGTTCGTTATCGTCTATACGTACCTATATTCACTCGTACTGACTCGTACAGTATCTCGATATTATAGGTACTTACTATAGCCCTCGATTACTATATCTCGGACTGAGTCTCATTATTATAGACTTCCGTTAGGTGTAAGCATGCTTTCACTTGATCCTACCTGTGGGCGCTCAGCGAGGATTGGCAATGATAAGCGTTGCGATCCTGACGTTGGGGCGCTCCAATTGTTCGGCACTTATACCTGCGCTACTATATGCATATAAATGACGATGTCATCAAGCCATGCAACCACTTTTCCCCCTACCTATTGTGGATAGCTTCAACTTGTGCGGTATTATTTCTACTCTGTGCATACATACTCTTACCATTTCTACTTTACAACACTGTTCAACCTCCTAAAACAATGCAATGAATGATGAAACCATGTCCTCGCCTAGTCCCGCTAATTTTCAGAGTCGGTACGAGTTTTGCTGTAGATATGAATTCTGTCGTCCGGGCTGATCCCAGAGCTTTCTAAACGAAGTTTTACGGTCTTACTCAGCATAATCTCTCTCCTGGGCTAGCACTTTATTCGATAACTTTTGGCTAATCTACGACCGTGTCAACCCTCCAGCCCTGTACATATACGATCGCATAACAAGCTTCGACAAAGAAGTCGACACTGTGTGGCGTCGCAAATTGTCTCTTCTGACTGTGCCATACAGTTCATTTCGAGTAGATCATGGCCCTTAGTCTACTCCTCGCCGTTTCGCTGAATGCAGGCTGTAAAGTGAGATTAACCCGGATTTTTCTTAACCCTTCGTTGGCTTTGGAAATGGCGCCTCCTAGGAGTACGACAAATTTTTTTTGAGGGCTTCGGAAGAGCATTCATCTGACGTTCATCTAGTGGCTATTTTGTAACATGGTTGTTGGATGCCTGCTATTGGTATCTTGATATTATGTATGCAGGTCAGTCGACTGGCTCCTAATACTCGCACCGCGCCTTGAGCTACAACAGCATTTTCCACACTTTGGGTATATGCCATTTCTGAGAGCAGTTGACGTGCATCGTTCTCTGTGATCATGTTAGCACTGGTGCCATTGATTGCAGATGTCGTGCGTGTAATCCCTCTGTCGGCTCTGTTCTGCCGCTGACGTCCTAGTAGTATTTCTTTTACAATGCGAAGCTGGTCTTGCTATCGCCCACTCTTAGCTGTCTGACGGATTTAATCGTTCCAACTAGAGTATCCAACGGGTTTGTCTAAATTTCAATACGGAAATCTTTCGACTCTGACTGTGACGGCGTAGACGTATGAAACTATCACTTTCCAGAGACATCTAGTCTCACAACTGCCTTGCCCGGCCACCGTCGCCGCAAGAGGAAGCCTCTTCTATCCGACACCATTGTACTCACAGTAATTTTCCACAAGACTTATCATGTCCGTAGGGTGACCCGCCAGACTCGCGCTAAAGCACCTTTATCTTCGTTGCTATTAAGGGACGGTGCGCACTCGCAGTACGTTTGTGATATGAACCAGGTTTGGTAACGGCGATGCTCTTTCTTAGGATCCTCCTACTTCACGTGAGGCAGTCCCTCTCCCTGTCGAATGGAAATCTGCGGCTGACCTATGACCTGTAGAGTGCTTTTTGCGCTCAACACGTTAGACATGACATTCTGGGCAACTGACGAAATCTGGTATCTGTCTGAGGACACCTGCTAATCACAAATTATGTAAGTGCTTCTTGTACATGGAACATTTTATCGCAGTGTCAGTATTCTCGGGATTTTACTCGTGAGCGTGGAATTAGCGCCTGATATCCGCACGATAGCTTGACCACCCTTTTGCTATCGAGATGTTTCCGCAACCTCCGCGAGGCATTAATTGAGGACATTGATGCGTCCTCAATGATTTTTTTCGACGTGTACTTCGCGTCCCCATTAGAATCTGGTGTTGCTACGGTGTCTCACAATTCTGATCAGGAGCCGGAAGAGTCTTGATATTCAAATTTGGTATTCTTGAAGGTGAAATATCTTGTTTTCGCTGTCAGTATACAGTGAATCAATGATCATGAACTCCAACGTACTAGACTGTCCGAGTACGACGCGTGATGGCGCGCCGCATGATTTTCACGGCAGTCACGTGGTCGCGTTTGGATGGAAGTTTACGATTCCAAAATGGCGATGATACTTGCTCGATGATGATTGTTATTCACCTAAATCTCAGCAGGTTGATGGCTGATGAGTCGGCTGCGGAATGTGTAGGATATTTGGCAGCTCCATTTTGTATTGTACTCATGTGAAGCTATGCGAGAAATACACAGGGACTGAGATGATGAGCGGGCCACATCTAGCATATTTGCCGATAAGCGGCCCTAGAGCTGCCACTGGTTTGTGCAGGACGTAGGTAGCTGCATTTTTGTTACTTTCGCGTGGTCAGTGGGTCGGAGCGTCTTACAGCTCGCAGACGAGAAGACACACCGCCACTACATTTGTTCAAAGGCAGCCAAACAAGAAGATAGCAGAGATGGGTCGAAGTGAAAATTCGAGTCCTTTGATCACGGCGATAGATATGTAGACGCCCACGGGTTTCTCCGGAACCCTCCCTCGAAGCCCACAGCTGCGAGTGCATACAGAATCGGCGTCAGGTTCCGCAGGACATCTGCACATATAACCTCTCCGCACACCAATGGAAAGCAATAGCACTTTGGAACGCGATTCGGAGCGAATTTTCCCTGTAGCCCATGGGCCGAAACCACTGGTGCGATGGGTGATGTATCACGGCCTAGTGTAATTAGCGTCTCATACAGCCAACAGCAAAATACGCGGATAGGGGAGCGGACGACGACCGCGATCATGTCGTGGAAGTCGTTGTCCCCGCCGTCCTCCGTGTGGAGCTGCAGCGTCCGAGTCCGTCAGGGCGCCTCGCGCGCAACCACCACCGGCACTCACGCATCACACAACACTGTGTATACGTCGGCATGCGCATCTACACACGTCGCCGCAGAACAGACCGGAGTACGGAAGAAAGGAGGCAGGGATGCGGGATGCACCAAGTTCTTCGCGTAGTCGGGCGCGAGCACCTTGACGGGAACGAACGGCGCGTCGGCCTGCTTCTGCACGGTAGACACGAGCGCGAGGTCGCCCTCATCTTAAGCAGCGCCGGCCGCGGGCCCAGCACGATCTCAGGATGCCGTTGAAGAGGAGAACATCGCCGAAAGAAGGGGAGAACGTCACCAAAAGGCTGCTTTTCATTTTCGCAAAGGGTCCAGACTCGAATACACTCAAAATATATGCGAGATCAACAGGCTCGCCCGCTGCCTGAGGTATTCGAGCTCGCCTCACGCTCACTTCCAGATGTAGGATATTATCCCACCGTTGATGGGTGCCGCGTGCACGAGACTAGGATTGGAGCAGAGCATGCGTGGAGGTCGTTAGCCCCCGGATATGCATGAGCGCGACTCGAATATATCTGTCTCTGAGAAACTGGGCGGGAATAGACGCAAGAAGAACAACATCAGGCCCTGCAAAATCTCCTGCGTGGAGAAATTTTCAACACCAGCGAATATCGTACAAGATATGATCTCTTCAGATCTCGATACGCAGCTCGTCCTTGATCTACGATGCCTCCGTCTCTTCCGTTCTCGCAAGCTAGCGGCGTACTCGTCCCGCCATGCTCGGGGAAACGCTTCACGCACTGTCGCATCTACGCAAAGTCTACGCGGCACTGGAATCCAAGAGACAAAGCCACTGGGGAAAAGCCCAATTTTAAACCCAGTGGTATTGGTGGTATTGACTGGTCAAACTCATACACCATCTGGTCACATACGGGGCCAGGGTCAATCCGCGGCTAACCCCAGGTCTAGCCAAGACCTAGCTCATGGTCGAGTTCGGTAATGCGATACTTTGCAGTGTCAAATGACTTGTGCACCATGATCCGACACCGTCCATCTATCTTCGCTATTGACAGGGTCTGATCCCGTTGACCCTTTGGGCCCACACTCGATCAAACGGCCAACCACCGACCCTCACACCGCTGAATCGCACCGCTTGCCGAATCAATGAGCAAATCCACCCCCGGGACACCCGAGCTCGTCGAAGGCTTACTTGTCAATACTTGCAGATGTCATTGCAACGCGAGCATTCTTGCAGAACCAACGTAGTTTCTATTCCATAAGAGGAAATGAACATCATAAATAGAAAGTACGTCAGGTAGAACACGTTTTATAGGATGGACCTCCGCAGCCCACACAGATGACAGGAACGCGGGGCATGAGTATCACTTGGTGCACCTGGCATTCCAACACGTCCGTCAGTGTAACACGCGGACAGGGGCGAGCGACGTACGAGATCACGGTCACAACGAGCGTCATGTCGTGGTAGTCTTTGTCACCGCCATCCTCGGTATGGAGCTGCAACAAGCCCGTCAGCACGTGTTCGCACCCCGTGCCCGCAGAAAGTCCACGCACCATATAGGACTGCACGTACTTCGGCACTTTCATCTGCAGCATCATGTGCGTGAGCATAGCCGCAGTCGAACAGCAAAAAAGAGGGGGAAGCGACGCACATTGTTCTTTGTGTAATCCGACGAGAGCGCCTTGAGAGGCATGAATGACCCGTCCGCCTCCGTCTGCACGGTGAACACAAGCGTGACGGTGCGCTGCTCGGGCTGAGATCTCAGCACGATCCAGAAGTACCCATCAGGGGTCATAATTATACAGTTTCCGCTCCCAATGAGCGCCCTCACTGCCATGGAGTTAGTACCTTCGAAGAACTCGAGGCGCTGCGTCCAGTCGGCAGTAGAGGACTACGGAGAGACGGTGGAGATAACCTTGTGCGCATACCATCGTCTCCTTTGCAACCTCGAGGATGATGTGGCACTCGATGACGATATTGCCGCTACCGGGCGTCAGCTCAGGCTTGGGCTTCTTGGTGGGGGTGGTAGCAGAGCCGTTCGTTTCATCGGACATGTCGACAGTGAACACTACGGCGGTAGCGGCTGGCGGCGAGAGTAGTGGTGCTTGAAGGCTGCCGAAGTGGTGGGGAGGTGAGGAGGGTGCATATGGTGGTCACTTTTATAGGATTGGAGCAAACTGGAACGCACGGATGTTTGTCGCTGCTATGGGCGCGACTCGCTGAGGACGGGTACTGGGTTTGGCGTGTACGAAGCATCGTACCCTGGATACGCGCGGTCTGGACAAAGCACAGGTCGTGTCAGGCCATGTGTTAGTTCGCAGTTGTCGAGCTCGCGCATATCAGGCAGCAGGCGAGCTCATTTGTCTAGCAAGCATTTGGGCCCTTTGCAAAAAGCACGGAACAGGTGACATTATTTCTTCATAGGTGTGGCATCTAATAGCACCGGCGAGCATTACTGGATTTGAAATTAATACGACAAGATACTCACCAGGAAAAGCAAGCCCACTGCAGAGGTGCTGTTCGACAAGAATCCCGTGTAACGCCATCCAAGAGTGCTGCCTTTCCAGAAGTATGCGAATGCCTCCAGACGTACAACCTCTGCGTACCTCGATTTTGCGTGCAATGTCACTCTACGAATTGTCCCGCAGTCTACGACAGGCTTCTATTTGCAACTCGCAGTCAAAGCGTCTCCAAGTGCGTCTTTTCGTCACCATCTGGCGGGAAACCGCCGCAGTGCATTAGTGAAGACCCGTGTGATCTCGGGGAGATTAGTTTGGCGTGCACGAGTCGTCCTACCACTGATGGACGTGGTATGAGCGAGGCAATGCACTACTCTAGGGCATACACGAGATGCATTGGTACACCTAGAACCGCACGGGTAGTACGTGAGCAATTCGGAGAGACGTACTACTTCCGAGTTAAACTCAAACACTACCGGAAAGTTCTTAGACGAATGGAGGATAACCTGCGGAGACATGAACTTCAGAAAAACAAGAAATTATCTGAAGCGCTGTACCAGAGCTTCCAGATGAGTTCAGAAGCAATTTCAGCTGTCAGGTTGCTCAGCTGCCAGAACCTTATGTAATCGCTCCAACACGCCGGAATTTCAAGACATGTAATCGGGTGTGCTGTGCACTTACAGTCATCATAAGCACCCCAATTGTGCTAGATCATGCTTACAAGGAATTCCACGTGAAATGTTTGCAGCCTTCAGTTAATCTGCGGCTGCTGCCAAATGGTTCCAGAGCCCCAGCGCTTCAGTAATGCCCGTTCTTGCTGATGAAACTCCTTACACGACAAGTGGTCTGCTGATAGCACTACTGAGTACCACAATGGACTTGAAATTACCACAATGAGACGCTAACCAGGAGGAACAAGCCCGCAAATGTGCGTTTCAGTAAGGACTCAGTTTGAAGCCGTGCGAGAGTGACATACCTCCTCATGTACGCAAACACGCCTCCTGACGTACGATTCCTGCACAGCTTGATTTTCCAAGCAGCCTTACTCTACGAGTCGTCCCAGAGTCCGCAACAGACTTCTACATTGTGATCTAAAAGCTCAAGCGTCTTCGACCGCGCCCTTAGTACGCGGCCCTCTGAACGGACTAGCAATGAGCTAAAATTGCTATGCGTGTGTAGGGGTACAGAGGCGAGAACATGCAGGTGTGAACAAAATTTTGTGTCGGCCTGTCTGCATCGCTGAAAACTACTGCGACTCGTTACAAGGCCAGCAGCTTTCCTGGACAAGTGCGCTGTAAGGTTCTGATTGGAGACCAAACGAAAATCAAGCGTGTCTACGTTCACACGTTAGATCGAGAGCTGACTATTGAACGACACGCATAACCTCTTTCCCTCGCGCAGTAGGCAGCTCGGAGACGTAAGGAAGCGACAGAGAAATCATCTCGGCACCACACTCCAGCTTCTATTGCGCCATCGTTCTATCACCTTTCACAGCCCACACAGTTACACTGCAATTTGAACGTGTGTTCAAAGCCGAGCAAAGCGAATGACGTTATATCGCAGCGTACGTCCTCGCCAATGAACCATTTGTGTTTGCGGTCTTCCATAGTAACCAGGAATTCACAGGACACGTGGAATGATGGCGGACAACGGCGGTTCAGCTTTCCGGGAAATACGCTGAAGACAAAAACTTGCAGTTCGATTTTGAGTCCAGCACACGAACAGGCTATCGCGTCTCGCACACAGAGCACTCGGAGACGCCAACTGTACGAAAGGTCGTGATACGGCTCTATTTAATATTACATTGAGGTCAGTATTGCGCTCAAGGAACAACTTCAGAGACGCACGGATAGTTTCCAGATATACGCCATCAACAGACGGGATATACAGCACCGCATCCGTCAGCATGTCTCCTACCTTCTGAAGGAACTCTCCAACTACAGCAGGTATTCGAGGTTTGTGTCGCCGATCTACTGATACGGGTGAACGGACGAACTTCGCAGAAGCAATGTCAGACAGACATCGGTCATCCGCGAGATAGGGTCCATCAAGTGATATGCTTGGAGAACTATTTGGCTACTTTGAGCTTTTCGCAGGTAGTCTCGACTGCCTATCTTCCACGAAGCAGTGTTACACTACAAATATGGAAGCGCTGGCAAACGCGACAGCAGGGTACGGAAGGCGCAAATGTTGGATAATGTTGTACGATCCAATGGGACCGGATACGTATGCGGACGCTCCCTCCACTGGCCATCTTGATAAGCTATGGTGACTAGGCAGCCGCAGTCACCACACCAAGGTACAGATATTGAGAACAACGAAACGTCACCAGCACACTGGAAACACGACAAGGTACGCGAGGGCGCCTGAGAAGGAATCGAGCTCTTCTTGCGAATCTGAGGTGACATGAGCAAAAGACGATAGTTTCTCCAGGGGTACCAGGATTTGCAGGTGCGGATACATGCTTTGAGCGTTGCATTGCGGTGGTCGAATACCAACCCGAAGTCATCAATGCAGTTCGATGGCAAGGAGACGAGCATTTCGAGGTGCGCGAGCTGGGCGAGTGAACAACAGAGGATGGTCGATGACAAAAAATAGGACAGTGACTTGAAGATGCGTGCATAGAAAACATTCGTGCAGCTGTGAAGTCAAGTAAGATAGGCGCCCCCATCGCACCTTCACACCTTCTGGGGGTTAAGAGCACGAACAGAAACGAAACAAGTCTTCCGCCGCCATCGACTGGTTCGACATCGTATCCGAAAATGGTGTCAAAGAATTTGTGCAGAATCCGCAAGAGATTATTGGAGACGCCAAAACTAGAAAAAAAACGGCGTAAAGGTATAACGGGGTGGCAAATCACGCACATATGGGTGCCGCCGCAAACCGGGCCCATAATGTTCAAATTGGCACTGATCACCAGTCAATGCTCATCGCACACTTTCATATTAAACCGCCAAAAAACCTACGAGCCATGTGAGTCACTGAATGCAGCATGAGTTCAGTACACTCATCAATGCTTCGAACACGACTCATTTCGAAAAAGTTCAGGTCTCTGCGTTGGGAAGAGAAGGAGGAGGAGGAGGAAGCCCGAGAGAATCTGGATGGAATGTACGACCAATCGACCGGTAGTCGCTAGGGCGAAGTCTATGAAATCGCGGTGTGACTTGATCACGTGAACCGTGACTCGCGCACCCGAACGCGCCGCCGCTTGTGTACAGTACAAGTTTCTTCGTCATACACCCGAAAATATTATTGTTCGAATACCTGTTCATGTTGACCTGCAATTTATTGTGCCCAACTCTTTGTCCCACGGCCATGAGAGCAGATCCGCAGCTCAAATTCTAATGTTGGAATGCACACTCTGTTGATGTCACTGAGTTCGTCTTGTACTAACATATACGGGCACAAGTGTAGCTGCTCATGAAACATGATTACATAACGGTAGTGACACGGTGCGCATAACTCTCCGCGGACTTCAGTTCTCTCACGGCTTAGTGCAGCTGTTTCGCAAGCACCAAGATTAGCAAATAGATATCAAAGGGAACGGAACAGTCACATACGCGATGAGGGACACGACGAGAGTCGTATCGTGGACGTCCGAGTCACCGCCGTCCTCGGTGTGGAACTACATACCATGCACAAAACAGATCGAGTTAACAAGGGCGTCCTCGCACCAGCGTGAGATGGACCAGCACGCACCACGTAGCACTGAGCAAAAGTCGGCACCTTCAACTATCACATCGCCCAAAGATGTTAGCTACTCCACCATGTCAAACGAACAACGCACTGTATTCTTCGAATAGTCCCCCGCGAGTGTCTTCGCAGGCTTGAACCCAGGCTCACCGGGCTTCTGTGTGGTGAAGACGATCGGGACGAATTTGGTGTCGGGCCACGGGCCGAGCACAATTCCGGGCTTTCCGTCCGCCTGCTTGAGAGCCGCGTTTCCCTGTCCCGTAAGTGTAACGGGAGGCGCAGCGGGGTCGGGAATAAGCTCGACACGCTGTATCCAGCCGGACGTAGCAGTCTGCCGTGTGAGAATAATAATAAAACATTGCTCGTCAGCGTGGCGCAGACGAAGACACTCAAGCACTTACCCCGTTGACGCACAAGATCGTCTTTTTTGCGACTTCGATGACGACCCTGCACTCGGGGAGGATCTCGCCACTGCCGGGTGCGAGCGCTGCCACGGCCTTTGGAGCAGGGGCAGGCGCGGGCTGAGCCGGCTTTGCAGGAGCTGCGCCATTCGTCTGAGGGGAGACAGCGGCGAGCTGAGTAATTGGAGCCATCTGAGGGACGGGGGGAGGGACAGGTTGGTAGGCGACAGGAGGGGTTTGGGCCGAGAAGGTATGAACAGTTGTGTCGACAGCGTATTGAGTCTCCATGATGAGCACGGGTGAAAAGTGGGAGACAATATACGTTGAGCTTAGAAGAGTGTTCGAGCGAAGCGGGAGATGCTAGGCTGGTGGAGAACGTCCATCCAAGAGGAGCTTATATACTGCTACGTTCGCCATCTATCCCAATTCGTACCGGAAAATTGAAGAAAGCCACATGTCCATAGCGAGTGCGTAATGCATCCAGTGCCGTAAGGCATGGCAGACGTCGTGGGCGAGACTAGCAGTAGCGCAATTGGGATCTGCCATGAATTCAGGTACGGATCAAGGGTAATCATAACGGCGGGTGTTAGGGTCTGCTGAGCTTAGGTAGAAAAGGTACTTTCCAGCTTCTGCACATGTACAGGAACATTTTCATGCCGTAAGGGGTTTATGCATTAAATTGATTGCACACGAGTGGTGCTGAGCTGAAACCTACAACTTGCGTTGATGGCAAGCATCTGGGAAACACATGACATAAAAGGCGGGTCAGTGGGTATACTCTGTGCAATATAAGTAAAAGCGGGAATTGAATACATCTAGTTTGATTTGGGATATGATGCTACGGCGCCGCCGCAAGATGCAATCTCTGCCGATCCTGACGGACCTGCACAGCATTGCGTTAGGATGTTACCCCGGACCTGATCAAGATTTGCAATGCGTCAGGTTCCGTCCTTCGCATCGCTTGACTAGAGAATTAGCTGCGTGCCTTGCATGGAAGAAATCTGTGGGACCTAACGCGGATGCTTTATGGTGCGGCTTGACCGGACTTTTGATGCACCGGAGTACCTGCCACGCTGAGAGCGACCATGTCGATGCAATACAGGGTTCGTGTCTTTGATCGCAGCTGTGTGAACAGAACATGATGCCAAGCATGCGTATGTTCAGCACCTGGCACGGCACGTGAAAAGCATCTCATCCGGAGGGCCATCTTCCACCGTCCATGACGAGGATTTTTCCATGCAATGCAGTGTCTGTTGAGTCCATCTGTGTCTTCTGAAGTGAGCTGCAAAGAAATAAGTTCGAACCGATACAAGCAAAGATCGACTGTTGAACGAGCTATAGTGACACATACATGCTCAAAACAGATGTCAAATGGACCGTCTCAGACTGACATTTATTATCAATCACGCAGTCATAACGGACTGCGCTATTCCGTCCTCGTCATCATCTCTTCGCGCCTGTAAAATCATCTCACTGCGTTGATCCTCTGTATCAGGATATCGCCAGGCGTTATCGGATACTACAGTGGGAACGACGCCTAATTAGCGCTGAGAGTTTTTTATCTGTCAAAGGTTGCAACAGTTGCACGAATCCATATTAGGCCAGTACGGTTCATATCGGTGTAGAAAGCCTCGACAAATTAAGTGACTGTAAAGCTGGATACATTTGAGGAATCCATAAGATCGTGCAGCTAAACGCGAACCAAAAACGGTACTCGCCATGCGCCGACTTCAAGTACGTATTCCAAAGACCGGTCAATGACTATCCAAGAAAATCTTGGATGCTTTGATAGCCAAGACAAGGACAAATAGAGACGCACTATGTCTCTGGCATTCAATCTGGTGACTGCTGGTATGTAACCAGACTGTAGCTTCGTCTTCCCACCAGTGAGTTCGATAGAGCCCTTTTCCACAGCATTGCACTTGCAGCTGCCATCCAAGACATCAGCCATGTCAAATAGACGTACAAGAAAAAACCAACGTTTTGGCAATTGCGTAGAAGATGCCTGATCCCATTGTAGAGAAGCACATGGAAAAACGACTTCAACTCATCGGCAATTTTGACAGCTCTCCATGACTCTGTAGACAAGATTGCAAAGCGGAATCGCCACATTCCCTGCACAAAAGGTGATTTAAAGTAAGCTTCTGTTAGCATCAAGTAAGCCATGCTCACCGTTCAATCCATCCGACGCGGCCCAGACATTGAACCCGGCGCCTCTATGGGACGAGAAAACTCCCAGTCATTCAAAAATACCTGTCGCGTCCAAAACACTTCTCCCGTGTCAGATACTTCTTTGCGCTCAAAGAGGAGAATGTTCCCCGTGCTGATATCTCTGTGAAGGATACTCGCAAGTTGCACCGCACCCATGTGGGTTTTACCAAAACAATCATTAGAACGGAAATAGCATAACCGTGCCAAGACGTCTCACCTATCACTCAATGAAATACAATTGCCACCAATTCATGTCCATCGGTGAAATTTTCCAACGGTCTTCCAACCTTAGCGACGACAAGGCGATAGTGGGCATGCGTTCACATAGGGTTGTCTTGGCACAGGTCCAACAGGCGACTTCCAAAACGTTTGCGTAACTGTTCTCTGTGGCTGGAATTGTCTCATGGACGCAGATCGAACATTATTGGAGACATCACCATGACAGGCGAGCATTGGGACAAATTTGACTCCCTTCCGGTTGAGAAGCGCCAGCATTTCTCCCTCCTTCTCAATTCCGGGAAGGTCAATACGCCACGCATTCTTGAGAAACATGAAAATGTCCCGTTCTGGATCATATGCCACATATCCATGAGTGTCACGCCCGACCATTCCGGGAGCCATGAAGTGAGGTCTGCCGACTAGATAGTACCGCGTCGCAACCGCGTCGAAGTGAGAGGTTGCCGACCCGACGCTCGACGCCAATGACTCGACGCAAAGTGTTGACGACTCGTTGCTGGATATTGACGACTGTGAGCCGACGCTGGACGGAGGCGGGTCGATATCGTTGCAATCATGCAGCTCTGCTGATGGAACCGGCTCTGCGCTCACAGCGACCTTCCAACCAGACCACTTGTTGACTCCTTTAACGGCCTCGATGCTCTTCTTGAAGTACTCCTTCACGTACGGGGCAACATCTTCAACGCCGATGCCGGTCAAGGCGCCCTGAAATCCCGTGGTAATTCTGCAGAGCCCTTTGCAACCCATGTCACCGGCGGATTCAGACCCTGCCGCACGTCGGTCAGATGAGAGTATCGCCACAGGAAATCACCTAACGACTCTGGTTTTTGATGATAATTGAAAAGATTACTGACATAAGCACCAGCGCGATTCCAGTAAAGCAGATGAGCATAGTCTCCGAGCAGAAGGACGCTGATCAAGAAACATCGATGTTGCCTCTGAAAGATGTCTTCTGCATACGAGATAATCTGACCTCGATTGCCGCGTCGCCGCAGCGCGCTGGCTTCAAATATTGAAGTGGATCGTTGTTGGAAATCTCCCGCTTAAAACCAATCCATAATCGCTGCTTCTCCCAGTTTGGCCTCTTGGGTACTAGCTGCAGTACATCTTCCTCCCGAAAACAATGCCGCATCTACTTTCAGCCGAGAGTCAGCCCTCGTATCGCCTTCATCGGCCGCAATCTTAACATGGTATCCTGGGCAGAGTCCCGCTACCCGTACACATTCGACCTGCGAGATGCAATCATGAAATTGCCATAAACGAGAGCCGATGAGAGAGGGAAGCTCACAAAGGACTCGTACATATGCTTCTCAAGGTGAGGCATTTTCGAGTCCATAGGGAAAAGCCTCTAGAGTGGGACATGAATTGGAGCACATGTTTGTACGGTGTATTTGCAATGCCTACCACATCGGATGACTTTGCTTTCTGTTGAACGAATAGTGAACGCACCTACAAGTTCTATGTACAGAACCACTA